AGGAACTTCCTGCATTACCCATTATGACATTGAGGAATCCTTACAGACTGGTTGTGAACTTACATTGAACTCAGTAGCTGTTGGAGAAGCAAACGATAGAGACACAGCAGCAGGAGGTAATTAAATCTTTAAAATTAAAAAAATAATAATAATTTTAAAAAGTTTCCTTCAATGGAGGACCCATGCCCATAATTTGAGCGTGACAATATGAAAACTGAGAGAGACTAGATTCAGGTCCAGATGTCGATGAGAAAGATCTTAAGATATTAATCTTCCTCTAATTTTCTGTGCGTATTCATGTTAGCTTGATTTGTTGTTCTGAGTTTGCTGATATTATTTAAATTTGCTAAAGCATGGATTTAAGTCGGCTAGCTAAACTACTCTCTATCTCTTAGTTAAAGGTCCATCGCTGCGTTTGTTCTATTGCTGAAATGTGGTGTAAAAACAGACGTAGGAGGATTTTATTTTTAAATTTATGCCACTAAGCTCCAAAGTTAAAGAGCAGCAGGCCAATGAAAGCGACAGATAACGTGCCCATTTCCTCAAATACAACTCAAATCTGTGCTTCATTTTGCAGCGAGTAAACTTTTTTCCCCGTTGCAGTAATAACGGTTAAATTTGACTTCATCTTTCTTGCCAACCAGTGCGGCAAACATCCATGTATGCAAATGCAAAGCTCACAGTGGCAACGTTAACTTTACAATAACTCACAAGCTGCTAGAAATCACAAGTGTGAAGATCAAGAACACCAGTTATAAACTATCAGCTGAATTCCTGCACAGGAGTGGGAGTGATTTAATAAAGTATATGCTTAGTTGTTGCTCCCAGTGATTTATCCTTTTGACTGATCTAAATGTCGAGATCCTTTAGTTTTGGTTGGATATAGAAATGTTTGGAGACACTGATACGGTAATTCATTCCCAGTGTTTTATGGCTCTTTTTTATTTTTTTTCTTTACATTCTCCACTGCCTTTCATCAAGCGTGTTCTCCCATCTCTTATTGCATTAAGTTTCCTGGTGTTTTAGGCTTTTGTTGTGGTTCAGCTTCAGTTTCCATGGAGTTGGACAGGTGTTGTTCCGAGCCATCACAGACTTATATTAATATTGTATATAATCTGAGAATAGCTACTAGTCACTAGGGTTGATGAATCATGTTAGTTTTTTTTAATTATTATTAATTTCATTGGGGTTTTTGTGGTCATGCATGTATAATTTAAAGAAAATCCCAGCATTCGACTACTTATTTCAACATCACTTTCCCCAGCAGAAGCTGAAGACTCAGCTAATTCAGGTCAGTCCTAGTGCAAATAGATTTTATGTCAGAAGTTTTTAATTACAGCTGTATCTTCTTACATCTCCAGTTCATTGTCGTCCCTCAACAATGCATCGAATGAAAGAGCAGAGCCATGAATAGCCACTCTGTTCATGTAATAGCACCGTGAGCCTCTTCTCTTTGCCAGTGGATGCTGCTCTGTAGAGAAGAAGTGAGGTGTGAACATGTCCCTAATGAGGGAAACACATGAGGGTTAATGAGGCTGGCTTGCTTCTGTAATTGGCTTCATCAGCATCAATGGCAAGACTGCATTCTGCAGAGTCCTCTTCGTCGGTTCTTTGGCTCAGAGGGAAGCTCTGGGGACACGAGAACAGGGATCTTCATTGTCAGTGTTCAGAAACATCCTTGGATGGACAGCCAGATACATAAATATGGAGATGTACATGCCCACTGTTTTGATCTGTTTGTTTGTTCTCTTTCCGTAGAGCCTAATTGGGTGATAGAACCCTCTTTAGAACCACACACACACGAACACACTGACCCACCTCATCACTAGTCCTAATGTGCTGCTGGCAAATATTGCTCAGTCCTCTGAGTCTCGTATGTTAAAATGAAATCCATGCAGTCCGACCGACTCTCCACTAGAATGGCCTCATTGTGTGGCTGCTGACCAAAGGCCGGCTAGCTAGGGACAGCGGTGGCTGGCAGACTGCCTGACTGGGTAACAAGCTCACTCGTGACCCATGTGACAATGAGTGGTTAAGTTGAGTCTGTAAATGAGTGAGCCAGCATGACCTCATGCCACCTCTGTTGTCCAGACAAAGCACAAGGACACCAGTGCCAGATGCCAACAAGGCATTACCATAATTCTATTTTCGCTACCCGAAGATGTCACATAGATGCAAAAAGAGCCAACAGTTGAGTCGCACTGCGTCGCCAGAGAAGTCAGGCCATCCTTCTGCCTTGAGATGATGCATGTTGTACATATAAATACAGCTGAGTTGAAGTGAATCATTTCAACACAGCAACGATTATTAAATGAAGTTTTAATGATTGTTATTCTGACGCTGAGCATTAATTGTGTGTGTTACGTCAGAGATGTCTTGGCTTTTGCAACAGGCCACATACCGAGTGTTTAACTTTTGTGTTTGCACCATAAGCACATTATTCTGGACGGTTTAGTAGCGCTCTGAATTCATAGTTGCTGATTATTCGTCATGCATTTAAATTCAGAGATCTTGGAGTCAGAAGACTGATTCGTGATTGCAACTGCTGCGTTTAAATATACACCAGACGACAAATGGTGCGCTGACTTCCTTGTGTATTTGCCTCAAGGCTTTTCTCTTTATTTACATTTTTTTTGTTTTAGCTTGAGCTGAACAGATGTTTCCAAAGAACCCTAAAAGTAGCTGCACTTTTCTCTGAATTGAGCTTAAAGCTATAAGGTTGTTCCACTAGTGACACGAATGCAGAATAAAGTAAACGACTGTTCTTTTTTCTATCTTAGTATCTGTCTGACTAATCTGTTAAACTGTGGCGCTTCAGACCTTTAGTAGTTCTATAAAGCGTTTTTTTTCCCCAACAGTCGTATCAATGGCACCTCACTATTCCACTGAAAACCACCTCGGGGGTAACATACGAGGATATATTGCCATTTGCAAGCAAAGGCAAGCTAGGGAACGGGGATCTAGACAAATAAAGCCTTAAAAATGCTTTAAAAATCATCACTGTAAATGTTTTATGAGGAAAGAAACGCACTTCTCGCATTTCTTGGACCTCACAGTCGATGTAATGATAACTTGTAAAGCCTTCACAGTACCCATGTTTTGTTTTGTTTTGTTTTTTTAACGCTTTTCCTTTCTCTAATACAAATTTAGCCAAAATTGTAGTCAACCGGCCAGCGTGGCTCCTTCAAGCATCTTGTTGTCTCTCGCTATAATCTGCAGCGTCAGGCAGTGTTACATCATCCCAGCTTCATTTCATTATCTGGACTTTGGCTGACGTTTGTTGTCTCTGGACATGTGCCCTTGATGTCTGTGTTGTAACGCAGTCTTTAATAGCTGCCACACAGTGTAATTAAGCAGTTAACACCTGTCATGACAGTCAGAGTATTGTGAACGCTGTTGAAGGCTCACACATGAAGACAGAAGTGAAGTAAACAGTCACCGGTCTGTTTTTTTTATGGGAATGCAAAAGGAAAAACCAAAAGCTTGTAAAGAGGAGTGCAGTATTCTCACTGCCGCCGTAAAGTCTTTCACATAAAGAACGTGGTTTGTTTGATGCAGCATTCATACGTTTTGTTGGTCCTGATTCTTGTTTAAGCCGAGCCATCTCTGGCTTTGATTGCTCCTGATTGGGCTGTTTGATTTTGCTGAATATCTCCCCGTGGCCTGTGCTAGGTATCTGCAGGAGTGTCAGCAGGTGGTGAGTGGGATTTGGGGTTCTAATCATGAGGCGTGTGCGTGTGTGTGTGGTGATTTAACACGCCTGATTGCTGCTGAACCGAAGTCTGACGCCACCAAGCTGGTTGAGCACCCACACACTCACATAAATGTATGCTAATACGCATTTTTTATCAAGAAACAGGAAACAAAATTAACATAATAAACAGGAGTTGACATTCCTGAATAGACGGCTAGTGGTTAAGTAATGCTTTGACATGTAATGTTGTCTTTTGGGGATATGGTGACTCATCTCCTGTAATTTGGGGTTTTTCATCCTTTTTACCCCCAAAGCAGGAGCGACAAATTTCTGTGGTGTTGTGCATTTGGATGATGATAACGAGAGTGATTTGCTTTTTCTAATGTACACCAAACAAACACGTAACGGCGGCATGCAAATGGATTTCTGTTCCGACTTCAAGACAAAGTTAAAAATCTTGTTTCTGTTGTTGAACCGGTGACATATTCCCGAGTCAGATGTGGCTTTAAAGGACAGCGACTATGCCGTGTGACCAGTGACTATAAAAGAAAGGCTACTTAAGATTGATCTTTGTTCAGATGGCATGATGCCACCAATGACGAGACGAATACAGGCTGTTGGCCTTCTGTCCACAACTTCATCACTTGTTGTTTAACAAATCATTTCAAGCAGCTCTGGATGGATGTGTCCAACAGTGTAATCATGTTTCCTGGAATGTCAGCTAACTTTGCCAAGCCTTTCAGGAAGAGTGGGACAATAGCATCGACAACCTCATGAGGTTTTTGCTGTCTTGTGATTTCTGCCCTGTGACCTCGTGCTCAATCTGCCCCCCGTCATTCCTCAAAGAGTCGCATTTGGTTGTTTACTGTTGTCCCTTTTGTTGTGGAGATGTCATGCATTAGAACAGGAAATACTTAATCCGCTATATTACAAACAAGGGTTGACCTTATTAAAATATTTCATGCAGTCATTTCTTTAACCTGCTAGCAAGGAGGTTCGGACCAGCCACTGAGATTTGCTTGTGCAGTGATGTGCTCCCTTACTGCCTCCTACAACAACACCACATATATTTGTGATTGTTCTTAACTGTTTTTGCGCTTTATGGTGGATTTAGAGATTTTTACAGAATGTGTGTCCATCGTCATCGGTAGTGGACTAACAACAGCAGTCTCTCATATCTGAGATGTTGGAACGTGACAGTCTTTCCTGCCTTTGATTGCAGACTTGACTGAAACGATTAGTTAATTATTTTTCTGTTGATTGGTGCGCTAATGTCTGCGCTCTCGTCTGTTTTCCTTCTTTCCAGACTGCGACTCAGTGGGAGTACTGAAATGACCAGCCGGCATCCCAGCCATGCAGAGAGCACTCACTCCTCAGATAAGCAGCCGCCTGCCGTGGCCCCCAAGCTCCATGTCCACCGATCACTGTCAAAGGAGACCATTACCATCCACTTCTCAGCTCTTGGGAAGGAGGAAGAGGAGGAGGAAGAAGAGCTGTACACTACGACTGTCTCCGCTACCTCAGCCGCTCTGGATGACTCAAACATTGTGACAGCTTTAGAAGCAAGCGAGGAGATGTTTGAAGGGGTGCCAGTGGACTCTGCTGCTGGGGTTGGTGTCATCCCTGAATCATCCAGACTTTCTCCCATTTCTAGACATCACACTAACAGTTCTCCCACACGGACTCTGTCTTCACATGCTTCAGAGCAAAAAGCCTCGACGTCTAACTCGTCGCCAACAAAATCTTTAAGCTTTCCCTCCAGTGACAAACCTTTCCTAAGCATGGTTAAATCTCTCTCCTCCGACGCCGAGTCTCGTGATGGGGTTTCTCCTATTCCTGCTCCGTCAGTGAGGCACAGGCATCTCATGAAGACTCTCGTCAAATCATTGTCCATAGATACATCCCAGGACTCCTCATCCTCCTCCTCCTCCTCCTCCTCCTCCACACCCTACCGTCTTCCAGAATCACGCCTCAACCTGCAACTCTTTAAGCAATTCACGCAGTCCCGGATACCGTCTGCTGCCGCGTCGTCGCTTAGCGATTCTAAAACCGCCCCCTCCTCGCCGCTAACCTCGCCGGATAACCGCAGCTTCTTCAAAGTCTCAGAAGTCGAGGCGCGAATCGAAGACACCAAGCGCCGTCTCTCTGAAGCCATTTCCGAGCCGCTCCAGCTGCTGAGTAAAATCATGGATGAAAAGAGTGGCAGCTTAGTTGGCAGCAGCATTTACCGGCCCAAGGCGCTTTCTGCCAGCGCCTCAGAACTATCAAACATTGCTTCTGTTAATGGTCACCTGGAGAGCAACAACAATTACTGCATCAAGGAGGAAGAAGGAGGTGACTGGGAGGCCGAAGGCCCCAACAGCCGAGTCTCTGGTACAGCCGAATCCCCTGTCAGCCTCTCTGTCGACACAAAGAGCCCCAACAAATCATCGCCACTGTCCATGTCACTGGACAAGTGCTCCATGTCTGCTCTTGCAAAACAGGAGGACGAGGACTTTTGCATCCTGTACAGCGACGACTTTGATACTTGTACTGAAACAGACGGAGATGGTGTTGATAGAACTGACAATACTGGAAGTGGTAGTCAAACTAAAGTGCCACTAAGCGGTAGCACCGAACCGTGCAGTGAGGATGAATCTGAAAGTATTGCGCCGGCGCCTAGTGTTCCGCACTATACTCTCAGCATCCTTACAGTGTTGGTCTATGGGTATTTTGTATTGCCGCTGCCAAGTTACGTTGGAGGAATGCTGCTCGGGATTGGGCTGGGATTCCTTTTAGCCATCGGCGTTGTGTGGCTGACGGGACCAAAACCTTCTGGAGGTGACTTCAGACATTCCAGACACCGTGGCGAGATGTGGAGTCTGACCAAGTTGGACATTAAGGAACCAGAAATCTATAAGGTCGGTTGTTTTTTTTGTGACTTTTAAACTTCTTGATCTCATTCTGGTGAATACCTGAGCAACAATATTCATTTAAATTTTCCCAATTCGATAATGACACACAACTTTTAGGCTGTAAGAACACTACAGGAAGGACAAGTAGGGTTTTCAGATTTGGCTTGGATTGAACAAATGCAACTGGGACATGCTAGCTTTAACAAAAGGGCTTGTCGGACTGAGTACTTCAGAACGATTACAGCATAAAAGGAAAGCCTCACCTCCCCTAGACATCATCTGATTATACTGCAACTCCTGTGGTTTATATTCTAAGAATAATACCTCATACTGTCAACCAAGGCTGTGCAATTAATCAGATATTGTTCATGATCAGGGTTTTGGGTTTCTGCTAAACTCTGATAATGACGTTTAAACTGATCCCATGCTTGCTCCATACTGCTGCGTTGCGGTGGCTGAGTGGAGACTGGCGGCTTCTCGGCACACAGCTGCTTTGCTAGCATCTACGGTAGCCTGCAGGTGAGGCGTTTAGGAGATATCGTTAAGGTGTGTCTACTGAAACAAATGTTCAGCAAGCAGTTCCTCTTGGAGATGCACTGAAGTTAATTGAAAGAGAAGCCTGTTTTGAGCAAATGCAAAGATTTGCACATTGGCAGGAATGTAAGAAGACGTGGAAATGAAAGCATTTTGTCACCCATCATCCTACCAATGGCAAGGATTATCAGGCTTTGTGCAGCAAATCAGATCCCCTCTTTGTTGGAAAATTCATGGATGAGATACTGGTTGAGCAGCAGAACTAATTTTGCTCTTAAAATAAAAACACCTCACAAACTTTAGTCAGTGCATCTTATATTTACTACAGTTCATGATATATTATCTAGGAATGTCTGTAATATTTGCACTTTAAAGCAAATTTCTCACAGAATCCTACACAGAAAATTGCGAGATATGTTTTTTAGTGTCGTATTCTGAAAACAACAAGCGTTATTCTTGATCGTGACCCTGTGTGCAGCTCTGTCTGTGAATAAAAGGCAAACTTGCCGTTCAGGAGGCATATTTCCTCACACTGAAGCGACAAAGCAGCAAATAAACTCGGGATGGATCCTGAGCTGAATATAGCCGGATGAACTTCAAAGCCTACCACGCAGAGCAGATGACAACAAGCTGTTTAAGGCTTTACTTGAAAAGACAGCGGTTATGAGACACTCTGTTATCAGTGGGAAGTTCACAGAGAGAGTCATGTAACCTTTTCTGTCACTGTCGGGTATGTTACATGGGTGACAACACGCTGTGAGCAGATATTCACCATGTCCTCGTTTTCCAGGCGCACTGCTGGATTGATGTGTTCTTTCTTTGAGTTTGTGGCTGTTTCAAAAGCATTTCTGTCTTCGTGTGTGTGAATCCTGGAGGATTACATTTATGTATTTTAGATTCACATGTGTTTCTAGTATTTTGCAGCACAGACCTCGGAGTGAACTTTATGTTGGAATCTGCCTTCCTTCCAGGGCTGGATGAATGAGATATTGAACTACGACCCGGAGACATACCACGCCACACTGACGCACTCTGTGTACGTCCGGTTGGAGGGCTCCATCATTCGTCTGTCTAAACCCAACCACAACATTGCCCGTCGTGCCACACACAACGAACCAAAGCCTGACGTTACCTACATCAGTCAGAAGATCTATGACCTTACCAACAGCAAGGTACGTCGTCACTGTTCTGACACACCCACACATGTAAAAATAGAATTCTATGCATCTATTTTAAAGCTTTAATTGGAAAGTGATACCTTAGGTTTTTTGTAACATGCTAAATGTTAAACGTTATGCCGGTAAACACATTTTATTTTTTCTAGAAATTTGGAAGAAATATAAATCAGTTGAGCTTTGACTCACTTCATTTTTCCAAATCCTCCTTCAGGTGTATCTGGCGCCTCAGAGCCTGGCCAGGAAGCGAATATGGAACAAAAAGTACCCCATCTGCATTGAACTCGGCAAACAAGACGACTTCATGTCAAAGGCCGAGGGCGACAGGTGGGAGGCCAGCGAGGGCGTGAGCACGAGGGACAGAGGAGAGGCGACGGGAGGAGGTCAGGATCGAGGCTGGTCGTCCTCGGCCAGAGACCTGACCCTCTACCTGTTTGGAAGAACTGGGCGGGAGAAGGAGGAGTGGTTCCAGCGCTTTCTGTCAGCCTCTAAGCTCAAGGCGGATTTGAAGAAAAGCTCCTCCGTTGTGGGGAGTAAGAAGGGTGAGTAAAAGTGATGCTCGTGTCCATACAATGTTGGTTGTGTTTTGTTTTTTTTTATCCATGGCTAAAATTTTCTAAGCTAAAGAGCCCATATTATGCATGTTCACTGGTTTATAATTGTACTTTTTGGATCTTCTGGATTGTTTAAATGCTCTACTGCTGAGAAATCACATTAATTTTCTCATACTGGACATTACTGCAGCACTTCCTCTGTCTGAAACGCTCCAGTTTAGCTTCTGTTTTTAAGGCCTTCTTGCCAAGAAGCTCAGTCTGCTCTGTAAAATTGCTTATGCACTGTAACTGTAGATCTCTGAATATATAGTGTCTCTGTAGTAGGAAATAATGGCAGGCTGCAAGAAACTACTCCTTATTTGTTTGAGGATCAAACTAGCTGCGAGGTAGGTGTTATGTAAACGTGACACGGTGACATCCATAGGTAAAGGAAGGAATGCCTGGACTTTAAACGAGGCTTTTCAGGCAGGAAAGAAGCAGTGGTTTCTGTGGGAGAGAATAACAGCGTTTGGCGTGAACTTTGGGTTTTGTAAGTTTTTGTGAACATTGTACATGTGTAAAAAGTAAAAATATAACCCACAAAACTAAATGGAAAACCACAATAGGCATAATATCGGCTCTATAAATCATTTTAGGTGTTTTTTAATTCACTTTAGAAACAGCAAAAGCTGTACTGGGAGCATGCAATTCCTCACCTCTTTCTAATGTTTGCTGTTTCCCACAGCTTTGAGCTCCCACAGTCGCAGCAGCAGCCGCAGCAGTCTGGATGAGGCGTTGGCATCTCAGCCCCGGCCGAAGGACTCTTCAGCCTCCTCCACGATGGCAGCCAGTGCCAAAGCCAAGCCTCTGCTGGACTACAGTGTCTACATGGGCTCCTTACTGCCAAAACAGTTGGCAGTCAGCCCTACAGCTGCCAGCCCTGTTCTCCAGAGTCCTCAGAGCAGCCCTGGGGCTGATAAGAAGGTAGCACATACTCATCTCCCATTTACACTCTCAACACATTGTCCCTTCTAATTCCCTCCTTAGGTGACAAACTTGTCGTGTCATTTACAATTTAACTTCACTGTGTTAAAAGCACTGTGGTTACACTCAACAAACAATAGCTAATGTTGGGATTTGTCCTCTCAAAGATGTATTCAGAGGAGTAGAACAAGCTGTGGATTGGTGTGCGTTTGTTCTCTGTTTATGGTAACTCTTCTGCTCCATGTTTAGCTTCAGAGCACCACTTCAGCTCCGCTGCAGCCCAGGGGAGAGGAGGAAGAGGAGGAGGACGCTGTTGCCTGGGTGAATGCGGCTCTCGGTCGGGTCTTCTGGGACTTCCTGACGGAGCCCTACTGGGCTGAACTGGTCTCCAAGAAGATTCAGATGAAGCTCAGCAAGATACGGGTGAGTAGAACAAGGGCCATAGCAACCGCGTCCCTTTAGAATAGAGACTGAAACAAGCAAATGAGGTGTGATAAAGTAACACACAGTCACGCTCACATTTCTTTTGACGGCATGTGTCCAGCCACAGACAGAGTCAACACACAGATGAGTTCTCGTAAAAAATGTCACTGTCTATATCTGTGCAGCTCTTTAAACGCCCCTGCAGCTCCACACTGGGTTTACGAGCAGAGGGAGAGGGACAGAAACACTTCTATCTCTATACTCTGCAGGGTCTTTCTGATCCTGTCCTCTGGCCAAACTTATTTTGCTTCGTTATATAATGTGTCTGGATCTGCGTGGCCGTCCACAATATGTCATATGTTGAATGACTGTGTCGACTTCTGGTGTGAGGCATAGTCCACAGGTACACCGGTATTTCTTTAAACAGGGTTTCTCCCTTTTTTTTTTTTTTTTGCTCTAAAAAATATCTGCAAAAAAACAACTGATTGGAGTTTAAATAATATGCCAGGACTGACGGTAACGCCTCTGTTCCTCAGCGTAGTGGAAGAGTAGTCGTACGTTTCTGTGCAGCACCGGCACTATTTTGGCAACATCCACCATCGCACAAAATCACCTCATGTAAACAGAGAAGGTAAAAGTGCACACTCTGACTTCTCAAGCCAAATCTCAGTTCCTACCTGTCTACACGTCAACAATGAAAACTGAGTTTCTGAATATCTTTAACGTCAAAGAGGTTTTTCCAGTCACCTAAAACTGCATTTGTATTTGGACGAAAGGCCAAAATGGACATGTGGGCAAAACCCGAATTAGCAGTCTGATAGCTTTTTTGTCAAAGTCGTAGCCTTTCTAGGTAGGACCACGTGACATTTATGAATCACTTTAAACACAGTCTGAACTGCATGCAGTCGCTTCAACAGATAGGCACACACAGGAATTACAGTGTACCGATACAGGATGCTGTTATCTATAATGGGCGATATGACAGTCTAGGAAGTGGTGCTGTAAATGCTAAGAGCTAATCCCCTCTGTTGGTTTGGGGAATTCCTGAAACATGACAGCAAAACATAATCTCCTGAAACACGCATGCATTCATCTGCAGTGTTGTAAAGAGAAAGCCGTGGCCGTTGCGCATTATGTTTGTCTTGATGTACTGTACGGTAAATGTCACGCGTGTACTGCAGCTCTCTCTGTCTCTGTGGCGGCTATATCTGAACGAATATTTGAGGAAGAGCAGCATAAAAGCGACCTTTGTCTGAATGACAGAACCTCGTCACGTCGGCTTGATTTACGGCAGCACCAATGTCGCGGTACACGTCTGAAAAGGATGTACATCTGCTTCAAACGAGGACTTGTTGTTTGTTTGAAGTAGTTTTTTTTCTATGTTTTTTTCAAATGCACTGTATTATTTTCCTGAAATCAATTATTCATGCACAGCGTCTTCAGCCCACTTGTTTGCTTGTGTCTCTTTCAGTTGCCTTACTTCATGAACGAACTAACCCTGACAGAACTGGACATGGGCTCGGCCACTCCCAGAATCCTTGGAGCTTCGAAACCCAGCATCGACTATCGAGGCAAGCAATCAAACCATAGCAACCTGCACACACACACACACACACACACACACTATGGATGTCATAAAACTACTAATATTTCTGCTTAGTAACGCCAGCCATGAGCTTTGTGGACAATTTTCTAAGTAATGTCCATTTATTGCACGGCGTTTGTTAAACCACAGAGCACATCTGAGTGTTTCTCGAGAAAGCACTTGCCAGTCAGTTATCTATGTCAACACCGGCGATAACGAGGACGAAGGCGCTGTAATGTAAACAGGCTTTGTATCAGGATACTTTTGTCGTGTAAAGTATTTTCAGTTTCTGCATGCATGGGAGGCTCTTCAGTCGAGTGTCAGCTTTCTCTTGGAAATTGGCGTGATGTGTCTTTGTTTTAGCTGAACCGAAGACATAATTGGCATCAAATACGCACATATAATGCAAAAAAATAACTAGAGAACATTTTGCACATTAGTTGCACACTCTAAAATCATGCACGTCATATTGTAAAAATTTTAGGGGTGGGACTTTAATGCATTAACGCATTAATTACAATTAATTAATTACAACAAAAATAACGCGTTAAAAAAATTCACCGCTATCCAGGACTGCTAGCGCTAACAGCTCCGGCGGTTTCTGTGCTCACTGCTTTGCATTCAGGTGGTACCATAAGTTTGATGTGCTTCGGTGGGATGCAAATTCTTTTTTGCACAAGTTGCACAAAACCACACTCTTGTCGAGGCTTCCATCAGGCAGTTTTTTTTAAATCTGTCATCCATCAGTCCAAGTGATGCACTCTCATCGGATTCTGCCATGTTTGTTGTTGTTAGCGTAGCGCTGACGCATCCTGTGCATCACTGTGATCGGTGGACCATGAAATCAGGCGCTGACAAACGTTCCATGTTGTCTGGATGCAAACTGTTAATTTTTTTTAACGCGTTATTTTTCTTCTAATTAATTAATTGTAATTAACGCGTTAAAGTACATTAAGGGTGGGACTTTAACGCATTATTTCCGTGTTAATTAACATGTTAAAGTCCCACCCAAAAAAATTGGCAACCTTTCTTTAGGACAGATAATACCTCACGTCATCCTGGACTTGTGTATGCTCGCTGTAAAAATATGTACAATTCACCAGAGATATTGATTTAAGCAACAATATTCCAGAGAGTCGCACATGAACAAAACTAGAAGGCCATTCAGAGAGTCCGCCAGTCGTTGCACAAAGCCCGTTATGTATCTAGCAATCTTAAAGAAATGGATCTGAATCTCTTACTGTGCTCGTGCTCCACCTCTCCACCAAGTGTCATGAATTTGGACCCGGTAGTTTTTGCATAATCCTGCTGACAGTCAGGCAGATTTCGCTGCTAACCTAAATAAATCTGGTGTGACTGTGACACCGTTGTCCCTCCATCACCAGACCATGATCTCAGCAGTGACATTACAGAAAAGAAGAAGAGAAAGTGGCTAACCACAACCTGACCAGAGTAGAAGAGTCTTCTACATTTACATAAGGAAGCGTAAGACCAGATTTCACAATCGAAATTTCTCAGTGCACAAGAGCCGATGTCTCTGTAACCACAGCGCCTCTTCTTATAAACTGCCTTCGCTGTCCGTGTGTCATTCTGCTGTGACTGTTTTGTCTAGAGTTGCCTCAGCAATCCAAACCGCCAGTCGAACTGTCAAAGCTTCACGTAATATAATTTTCCAAACCTTTGCTGGGCAAACTGAGTAAAATGTCAGATTGAGTGAAACCTTTTGCAATCCACTGCGTGCACACACACACGTGGACAGAAGTGATGTTTAGTCTCATGACTGGCCGTTGCTCCCGTTCTTTCTCTCGTGTTCCTGCTGTGACTAATAAGATCACAATACCGAGGCTGTGCTCTCCATCCAAAAGAACAGCAGCACTGGTGACAGCTGTCCTCACTCTCTATTGAAAGCAGCGCTGTCCAGACGGAGACGCTCACAATGCTAACCATAGACACTGCTGACAATCAATTAGAATGATTTAAAGCAGCCGTAGAGACGGCAACAAATGCAGATCATCTCTAAAAAATGTAATCAAAACAGAAGAACGTCAATATGTTGCGTTCATTCTGTGTTTATCGTGAGACAATTATCCACTTCCAGCTGCTAGCACCACAAAAACTAAATATAATTTTAAAAAACAATGAGGATGCCAAGACATTTGGTGTTTACCGTGTTTTTTTTTTCAGTAGCCTTTGGTTGTTCTTAGTGGTCTTATCCTATTTGGTCTTCATTTCTGCTATATTCTTTATATTATATTTCATTTTACAAGTTTTCTGCTGTTGTGTTTCTTCTTTATTTGTACGTATTTTTATTGTTGCCTCTTATAACAAGTACAGAGAGAACTTAGGTCAGCTCGAGTCGGGTTGTTATAAACCGCAGACAGCAACAACAGCTGCTCCGCTCAATCCAGCGGTACGCTCGAGGTCAAAGAGAGATGCTTGTTACTTGTAGACTCTCAGCCGGGTAAATAAGGTTCAAACCTTTTTCCCTTCCTCTGCAGCCGCTGACCGGCAGTAACAACGCTCACAGTAGCGTACTGTTGTTTGCCGCACAGCGAGAAGCCTTGGATGTATGGAGCTGGAAAGATGTTTGTGCTTGATTAGTGTGAAGAAAATCTTCTTTACCAAAGGTGTCGCATGGCGCAGATCCTGGAAAATGCCTCATAAGTGAAAACCTTGTTTACAGAAGTCTAATGGAATCTGATTGGCTGTTGGACTCTTAGTTGAGCACAATACAGGCAGGCCCTAAGCACTTCAGCAGGTCTTTCCTTTGGAGCGGATAAATCGAAGCTTAGCTATGTGAGGTCTTAGCTCTGCACAGCTATGCAGGCTCAAGTGGTGCTAAAGTTTCAGCTAGCTGTGTTCGAGTTTTGATCACGAGAAGCTTTTGTACGTCACTTTTACAGGAATTCTTCTATGATCATTCCGACACGCAGCCTTAAGCTTCCCATCTCCCTCTGCCACGTTACTTTTGTCATCCCCCTCACATTCTGTGGCAGATCTGGCTTTTTCATCTGTTTCACATGTACAGTCTCCTGCTCTGTTCCTAGTTTTTTCTTCCTCTTGCATTCCCTTTCATTTCATCTTCCTCTTTGTGTCCTTACTCACTTTTTTGGTCTCCGTGTCTCTCTTCCTCCCTCCTGTGCTATGACTCACTGCCTCATTTTTATCACTGCGGCACTCACATAACCCTGTAATGAGAGCAGGAAATGATTGCATCTCCAACTGAGATGGCAACAGCATTTCTTGGATCAGTTCCAGGCAAAACACACCTCAAAAGCCTCTTCAAATACAATCAGTGTGCACTGAACCCGATTCCACTGACTGCGTTGATGGGTTGTCGGCTTTATTTGCACTTGCGTTCGGAAACGGCTATATGTTGCCAAATGTTTTGATTTCTTTCCACCAGATTGTAAGTGAATTGATTCGGATCCCCCACAGCGAGTCTCAAATAACAAACTGCCACATTTTTAGACACATTTCTTGGAGGTGAGAGAAAGTAGGAAGGAGGCAAGAGGTGTGTGCTTCAAACAAAAGACTTTCTATCCATTTGGCTAAAGATTACTGAAGGCATTTAGCTTTCCTGAGCCCTGTGAATGTTTCTTTTCAGAAGGTCTCCCTCGCCAGGGGAAGGTGATGTTAAAAATCTGTTTTTGTGCCGGTGTGTTTCCACCATCAGTGGCCTCTGACTTTGAAGTTTTTTTGTTGCAGAACCTCCAGTGGAGACGGTCAGTTTAGTTTTCCTTTTCAAATTTCCACCGCTGCTACAGTGGCTGTATCCTCCAGGCATCTCAAGTTCTGCCTTTACCTCGTCTCACCCCGCTCCTTCCAGGAACGAGCATGCTGAGTGCAGTGGATCGATTAACTTCTCCAGCTGTGTATGTGTGCATATCTTCAGAGGCAACGCTCTCTGTGTCCTTGTACCTTTGTCGTCCTGCACATTTGTTTTTACAGACACATGCGTTTCTGTATTCTCCGTCTCTGGAAGCTGACACCCTGCAAATGTGAAGGCGTTTCTTTGTGGTGTTCATGGTGCACTGCTGACTCCTCACCATGTGGCTTCGTGACTTCACCCCAATTAAAGAAGCGCTGCCCTGACCCAGCAGCTTGCACTGAGGCTCTTCTCTCCTCTCTCTGTCAAACAAAGCTGTGCGTAAACACCCAGACCAACCAGACTCACGCCACACTCCTCAAGACCAGTGGGTCTGGAAAGGCCCACTGGGCTCATCGTATCCACCATGCTAACTCTGCCGTGCTGTCTTTCTGATTTTCTGTCTATTTTCGCTTTTTCTTTTGCTCCAACTCTTTTTTTTTTTTTTTTTTTGACCTGCTTTCACTTCTTCTCAGCCGTCTGTTTCCTTTAAACATGTTCTTCTTCTCTGATTGTTTTCTCTCTAGCGTACTAGACTTATTGCCTTATCGTGTCATTTAGCAGAGCCAGCTGGTGTTCAGCAGAGCACCGAGGAGAGGCCAGCAACTTTCTCTATTGTCTGCCTTCCCACGCCACGTCTTCTGATAATATCAAAACGAATTTCTGTTGACAAGTAGAGTATTTCCACTTATGCCCAATCCAAAGCAAACACTTTAGACAGACTTTATTCATGAAACAGCCACGAAGTAGAAACTCAATACAACAGAAGTGAATCAGCCTTTAAGAACTTTAGCAGTTTTGGACCAATGGGACGTGTCCATCTCCATGTCTGCATCACGTAGGAAAGATTTGTCAGAAGAAATGAACAATCAGATTGTGGGGCTTTGCAAAGATGGAAAAAGCCTGATGAATGATGGACTGGTTGGGCTCAGATGGGGTCGGGTTTGGTGTGAACTTGACCAGGACTATCACATATTCCTCACATTGAAGCACGGAGGTGGAAGTTGTGACGGTATGGGGCTGCGTGAGTGCAAAAGGTGTTGGAAAGATGGTGTTTAGAGATGGCACCATGCATGCCTGTGGATACACCAAAATAGTGGCTGACAAGATGGCTCCCTGTGTAAAACTGAAAAGCACAGCGTCACAGTTACACACAAGCAGAAGAAAAAAGTGAAGCTGTGACACGTCCAAGTATGCTGCCTGACTTGAATCTGATAGAACATCTTTGGAATATTTTAAAGAGGAAAAATGGAGCAACACAACCCGTGTGAGGAAAGAGCAGCTGAAAAAAATAGTCCTTTAAGGTGAACAACAAAAACATCTTTCAGAAAATTGGTATCCTCCATGCTGAGGGGGACGGGGAATCTTAGTATTAGAAAGTATAGTTCCTACTGTGGGTCTGTTCATTTTAAGATAGAATGTGGGTTTCAGTTTTACAAAACAAATCCTCTCCTGGTCCACTTTGAAGCAAAACAGTTGCTGTCAGATGACACAGTTTAGAATCATTTGACGTGTAATGGATGTACATGCTGTATGAGCACGCTTTTTGCCAGATTACAAAGCCTATCTCAGGGCTACTGTTAGGAAAGCCATCTAAATCTAATTATAGAGATTCTGGTGACTGTGCAGCAAATACTGCAGCATGTGTGTGTGCACTCGTTATGGACTTTAGCATCACGTATGTGCACACATGCAAAGTTCATTGTTTTTTTGGATCAGATTAGCTTAATGGCCTTCATCCTGACCCAATTCTTCTTTCCTGCATCATCTGACAAACTTTGCTGCCCCCCAGTGGGGAACAGGGGAACCTCACCCAAGTGTACAGCGAGAGCAGAGGCTGCCCCGTGCAAGCCAAGCTGTCGATGGAGGCTTTTGAGGAGTTTTGTGTAATCCAGATTACAGCAGATTTGGTAGTGCGGCGGTAAAAGGAGCAGCGGGAGAGCCCTGTTTCTGCAGCCGCTCCCTCCTGCTGATATCAAACGTGGGCTGCGGGGGAAGACTGCGTGCTCTCCAGCTGTTTTTCTCCTCTGGTTAAAGGACCTTGTGATCCCTCCCTCTTTCTTTCCCCTTCCTTCCCCGGGTCTTTCACTCTGTCTTTCTCATCAAAGCAGAAGGATCAGGGAAATAGAATCGGTCGGAGTCCCCACTTTAGTGATGCTTGAGGGGAACGAGAGAGAGAGAGAGAGATGCCACAGAAAGGACAAAACAGCGACGGGAGAACGTGAGCAGGGAGGAAACAAAGGCGGCGAGGACGACGGTGTGCACGAGTAATTCAGACTCGGCACATGAGCTGTCAGTGGAAATCGATATTTCTGTGACAGCTCAGAGAGTGTGATGGGCATTGAAAAAACACAAACATTAATATCTGGAGTACCTTGTTGTTCAGATGAGTAAATGTAAAAATGGGTTCCAGCATGTTTGACCACGATTGTGAATGCATAGTCCTGACAGTGAAGCACAGACGTGATGATCAGGTCCTGCAGGGTGTGAAAGGTTTTGGGGAGATGGCGTTTATAGGTGGCACCGCGAACGTCTGTGGCTATATGTCAAAACACTGGCTATGATAGATGCTTCCCAGCCTGCAGAAGCTTGGTAGAAGATGGACTTTCCAGCGAGATAACAATAAAAAGCATCAAGCTAAATCACACAAGAAGCTTCTCCAGAAGGATAACGTGAAACCAGGACGTAGCCACACATGTTGCTTGACTTAAATCTGACAGAACATCGTTGGGAAAAAGGAAAGAAGCAACACAACTTCTGCAGCTAAGAGCAGCTTCAACAGAATAGTCGCTGAGGAATGACAAAACATCTTTCCACAAATCTGCAGTCCTCCATGCTAAAAAATACTCCAGTAAATAGGATTTGGACGGTATAATAATGATGAAGATGAAGTCTCTGATCAGCAAATCTCACTCTTCACAGTTTCATTTCTTAGACTGACATTTCTGATGCCGACTGTGTTTTTCAGGTCTGTGGTTCGACCTGGAGATCTCCTACAGGGGCTCCTTCCTGATGACCCTGGAAACCAAGATGAACCTCATCCGCCTGGGCAAAGAGGGGGACAGCCTCCGCTTAGGGGAATTTGGCAAAGACGGGTAAGACGATCAGCCTCCATCGGACCGCGTACTCACTTTAGAACAGCCTTGATTGGACTCAGTGTCGTTTCCTCCTCTACTCAGGAAGACGGTGCTGGTCTGTGCCAGGTGTCAGCTCACCTGTTTCACTCAGTGTTCTGTATCTTTTCTGTCTTGTCTTTTCCCTGCCGTTCCCTTTCTCTTCTCTGGATTCTGCCTCTCTGCGGATGTGTTTCTGCCGTGGGTGAGTGCTGCTTGACTTTCAACAGTGATCTCCTCTGTTCATTTTCCAGTTACAACATCTTGTTTGTCTCGTTTCCTAATTCCATCTAATGCCTCGTCTGATTAATTATTCATTTCTTAGCGTGCTCGGTGCTTCTTTCATCGGCGTGTTTCCTTGTTGTCATGCCAGAAATTAATTCTGAGCAGTGAAGAGCAGCCCAACATGTTCACATATATGTCCGTGTACATACTTACAGACGACACTCAGGCTGCGTTATGATGCTCTGCATTGTTTTGGCACCAAAATGGAGTTCATGTATTTCTAATTTTTTTTAATTTATGACGCTGGTAAAGTAAGGGCCTTTGTTGGTGTCAGTGGTACGTACTGGATCGGTGTTCCTTTAAACTACTTACAGTTCGTACTCTTTGGGGTTGGACTGGTTGGGAGTTAATAAGAAGTGAGTCGAATTTTGCCAGACCTCATAAGGAAACACATTTAGATTCAGTTTCACATCAAACTACATCTGAAGGGTTGTTAAAACTTTACAGTTTGGAGGTGAAATTACAAAAAAAAACATTCTTAAAGATCATTATGACTCCAGCGATGTGCAAATAAATAGTCGTCTGTAGGCACAATGACATAATGTAAAACCCTGAGCATGAGTTCCTGCATTCATGTGCGCTCACCTTAATCCTTTTGTGTTTGTTGGTGCGTTTCCAGATACAGGCCGAGGACGTACTGCCTGGCCGACAGCGATGAAGAGTCGTCCAGCGCCGGCTCGTCAGACGAGGAAGACTCCTCCGACTTCTCGAATGATTCTGCCGGAGCAGACGGGTGAGGACGAGCTGTGGCAGTTATTTAATCTGTTTTCACAATCACGAGCTTGTAGGATGTTTCCAGATTGTCCTGCATATACAAACAGAATATTACTAGACTTCAAATAAACGTGTTTTGTGAAGTTTGAAAAGCTTTTTTTCCTTCTAACTCCTGAAGCAGACCTTTTGGTTTCAAAGGCCTCACAGTGACAGTAGAGTAGTGACTGAGAGTTATCTGAACTGGGACAGAAGATGTTACTGTTAGACAGCTGTGGATACATCACACATGGCTGGTAATGGATTATTAAAAAGCCTGTGTCATGCTTTTCCAGTTTCTTTAGCGTGTTGTAGCCCTTATCGTAGAAATACCAAACGGAGTCATTCTCTTTGCTGCCTTGCATCATTTCATCACTTGAGCTGCTTCGTGTACAAACCTGTAGCCAGAGAGTTTCTAGAAACCTTGTCTTTGCTTACATCGGGCCAGTTTGACCAATCTGAGCAGACTGGTCGACGTGCAGCGTGGAGTTGTGGGAAAACAAGACGATGAGCTTTTGTTTGAGGATCTTTGTGCCTTTGGTTTCTGGTATCAGCACGGCACTGTGAGACTTCGTAGATTAAGGTCAAGTGAACATTAACAGACTTAAATGACTTCTGTCAAACGCTTCTGTCAAACAAATTCTGACAAGAGAATCAAGAATCCAAAGTGGATGCCTTGTTTGACACAAATTAGTCATTTCCTGTAGACTGGTAGTTTAATTTAATAAAATTACAGACAGTTCATGACCCATTTCTGTGTAAAAGATCCACGTTTGCACCACTTCTGAGCTGCTCACGTGTCTGGAGGAGCTGCTTTCACTGGTTTTAGCAGAAGCCCAGCGTAGTGTAGTCATGAGGTTAAAGTGTTTCAGACAGAGGGCGTTAGAGCGCGTAAACATAGTCCAGGAGAACCCAAAAACAAAATTAGAAACCCGTAAATGCGTCTAAGATGTTTCCGATGTGTCGAAGAATCACTTTTATTAATTGAAGAAAATGTGATCTGGTTTCATGGAAGTTACAGCTGAGCTAAATGTAGTCCGATTCCTCCCCGACCCGCTTTCTCTCTGTTAACACAGTTTGGTTGGAGGACACAAAGCCAGCAAGATCATGCGCTTTGTGGACAAGATCACCAAGTCCAAGTACTTCCAGAAGGCCACGGAGACGGAGTTCATCAAGAAGAAGATGGAGGAAGTGTCCAACACGCCCCTCCTGCTCACGGTGGAGGTGCAGCAGCTCCGGGGAACGCTGGCCGTCAACATCCCGCCTCCTCCCACCGACAGGATCTGGTATGTGAAGGAAGTGTTGTTTCCCTCCAGCCTAATCAGAGGAATGCTGTGCAGAGTGACAAATAATCACATTTTCCCTAGAGACGGCTCTTTCCCACAGACAGGAGAACACAGTCGAGCCTGTTGCAAACAAAGGTCTTTAAGATGACTCTGAATTTGTCAGATTTCTTTTCGCGTGTCAACAGTTCCTGAAGCACAATCCACATACCTTAAATCTATGTGATGGACAGTTAACCTGAAACACACAAAGTAGGGAAAGCTGTGCTCAGAACAGGTGGGATTTTTTAGACCGTTCAACTCTACGTCTTACAAAAACAAATAAATGCATCACCCAACAGGCTGTATGTCTTCCTGCAGCTCATCACTGCCCCCTGGTGGAGGTAGCTCAGAAGTTGCTCATGTGTCACCTACTAGCAGTGCTTGTGACTGATGGTTGGTTGCTTTCTGTTGCAGGTATGGCTTTAGGACACCGCCTCACCTGGAGCTGAAGGCCCGACCCAAGCTGGGAGAGAGAGAAGTCACTCTGGCTCATGTTACGGACTGGATAGAGAAAAAACTGGATCAGGAATTCCAGGTACTGATTGTTTGTTTCTGTAATTCAGTGACGCAGTCCGACGTGGCGCAGCAAGTTAGCAGAGTTTATCTGCAGGTCCATGCCAAACAAGTGGTGTGGGAACTTTTAGAGGAAACCGCATGTGTACCCCAGCATCTTATACGAGGGTTGATCAGATAGTTCTGGGACTGTTCGTGCCCCAGTTAGCTGTAGGACCTGTGTTTGACACGTTTATTGACACCTGGTGGGTTTGTGATTCATCCGCGGATCTAAAACGGGTGCAGGAAAGAAAACATCACATTGCGACCTTCATGATCAACGCTGGTGACAAGAGGTGGGTCGGCAGCTACCACTGAAAGAAGAAACAGCATAGCAAGAGAGCTGCAGTTCAGAAGGCACGTGGACTCAGGAGTACCAGGACCGTGCTTGTGGTTTTCCTTAACATTCAAAGGGTTGTGCACCAGGAGGTGGTTGGACTGTCAAGGTGGAGTTCATGCTTTCCGTGTCCACCGGGGGGCGCATAACGCAGATTTTGTCATCCGTCCACGTTGGAAAAGGTTAGCCACCGTTTGTACGAGGTGTTTCTCCGTCATCCACACCTTTATAATTCACTACTAAAGGAGTTGTAATTGAAGAAGTTGCAGCCGGACGTTGGAGGAACTTTAATTTGTACGTGCTTTCCACTGACACAGTAGAAAACCAAAAGCATTCCCACGTACGGCGCTGCGTCCACTGGATGCTTAACGCAGATGCATGATTTTACCTGATGAGACTTCCAGGGATCCTTACAGGTGTTGCAGAAATGCTGGGAGCTGCAACGAGGCTACTTCTGCAGGAATTTAAATTTAAATCGTGACAGTTTTTGATTGTCGTAGGTTGTGTGGAGACGACCCGCTGACTGTCCGTCTTTCTCTCCTGTCTTGTAGAAAATCCTGGTGATGCCAAACATGGATGATGTGTGGCTGACTATCATGCACTCTGCCATGGACCCTCGCTCGGCTGGCGGCCCCTCAGTCGGCCTCCCGGCGGCGGACCCCGAGCCCTGGCAGCCAGAGAGGGACAGCACCAGCCAGCCATGAAGATTGTTTACAGTATTTCCTAAAGCTTATGAAGTCTCAAAACGGGGGAACCGGAGCCAAAGTCGATGGGCGTGGCGCTACTGTAACACAAACACATTCCCGCAGTGAGCTGCTTTCTCACTTCAAATAGAAGAGACCTCGTAACTTCAACAGGAACGAGGCCGAGTCGACACTAAAGACAAACTGTTGCTTGCTGCTCTGTTTAGTAGTATTTATCACGCCGGGGGAAAAGGCGGTTTCGTCTTGTGTGACGATGAGTACCTATTGAATAGGCGCTGACATGTGAAGGGAGCCTTTCTGGGCTCGTACCTGGGGGCGGGTTAATCAGCAGGAATATTTTTGGTATATATTTTATGTCCGATGAACACGTTGATGTGGAAGCATTCACCAGATACCTTACAGCCTGCCGACGACGGGAGACGTTTAGCGTCGAGCTGCAGCAGATGAAGTGCGATCGTATGTTGAGATTAGAGGCAAACGGTTAGCGTGTGAAGGAGCGCCGTCGTTTGCCTTGTTGAGGATGAACCGTGAACGAGTGGAGAAGCTCCGATACTTGATGTTATGTTTCTTTACCATAAAACATTAAACCTTAAAGTGGCTTTAGCGATTTAAACCTTTTATTTTTTGGATCAGGTGTTAACTAACAGTGTTCATTTGTGCTGTGACCAGACCTTCGATTGCCAAACTCCCTTTTTGTTTTTTTCATTTTAATGCCACTGATGCCGTTGTCTGTATGGAGATGATGCTCGAGAGCAAACACGCGGTATGTAGGACGAATACACAATAAGTGCAATGATAGAACTGCTACATAGGCTTTAGTATGATCTTGTATAGCGACTATATAAATACACAGTGTATGTCTGATGACAAGTACGAGGCCTCTAACACGTCTATTGAATGTATGTTTGGATATTTTTGCTTTGGGTTCTTGTATGAAAACAGTTTTTTGTTTTTTAACCCAGTTCTGACTGGGCTATGCAAATTATTGCACAAATACAAGTTTTCTTTTTGTTTTCTAATGATAAACACTATGTCGTGTCCTTTTTCCAGACGCATTGTGAGAATCTTTGTGGCGTACACGGTGGTGCATGCATCCAGACATGGTGTCGCTGATGATGTGTGAATTAAAATGACCAATTTTGATAAACAACAGTGCTTTAAAAAGACTCTGCGCACCTCTTTGTACGTAGGAAGACACTTTAACACAAGTTAAGGTACAGATTATATCAGAAAGCGTCTATGGTCCAGAATGTGTGGCCCTGTCTACGGGTTCCCTCTCTGAATATGCCTTTGTCACCTTTTTTTCTGATCTTAACCAAAGTCCTTCGGTTGGGCCTTCAGCGCCGGATCGCTCCGTCGGACTCGACTTGTATCGATAAAGGGTCGATCCACCCAGACGTCAGAACTTCTCTCGATTCATGTCGTGTTTTTTTTGTTTGTTTTTTAACTAAATCACGCTAAAAACTTCTACCTGAACCAGGAATTCTTGCCAAATCAAACACAGCTCTGCTCCAAATACTTTCAGAGTTGTGAGATTTTTTTGAAAATAGTCCCTCTGTGTTTAATTTTATAACTTCAATCGCTTATTTTTCACAGGATTTGGCTGATTTTTTTATTTGATTTTACACTGAATATCCCAGAAATCTAAAAAAAAAAAAGTAAACAGTTGGAACTTGTAATCATGTCAGTAGCTTGTACCGCTTTTTAATTTTTTAACAGAAATTAAAACAATAACAATCTGTAACTTATCATCAAAAGGAAAAATCTCCTCTAATGTTCGCTCACAATTTGCTTCGAAGCTGGAAAATCCAATTTCTTGGACATTTTAACAGTATTTTTTTTTTTTTTTTTTTCCCATGAAGGATTGTTTTGATTTCTTTGAGACTTTTTGAAGGGAACGTCTTCGTATCCATTGAAAACCTATTAAAGATGTTATATTACTCCTTCGTTATTTAATGATTTTATGAAAATGACAAATTTTGTTTGTAGTTTTCAGTGGCTTTAATATCACATTTGGTGGCTTTAATTATCAGGTAAACATCTGTACTATGTTGATTTCCAGGTTTTCTATGTCTGTATGGTACCTGTTGAGCTGTTTTGTCATTAGTTCAGGAAATAAACGACTCAAGTTCCAGCTCGTAGTGGTTTTGGTCATTGTGTAACGGATGGTTCTTTGTGCTCCGTGTGTCTGGACGAGATAACGTAAGTTCATCAGCTCGCAGTGTTAATGTAATTAGAAAAACAATAAAGCAAGTCTGGGCTGATCCTCCCTGATTCAGGCAGATTAGAACCGTTACGACACGACGGCCTTCTAGACGGGACTTGTGTTGGGTTCTGTGCATCATGGAAGATGGTACCACCTGACCTGCTGATGTGCAATTGTTGAATTTGTTCCTGAACTCAGTAAGTTCTCCGTGCAGCAGGAAAACGTTGCTAACTTGGAACGATTTTGTGTTTCCCATCTCAATAAATTTTTCCCGATTTACTGTTTGTGCTTCTAAGACTTTTTGTGAGCTGTAATGCAAGTGCAATAAATGTACATTAGCCAAATCTCATTAAATAATGGAGTAATAGAGGTACAGACTTTTTATGATAAATTCGATTTGTATTGTTTTAATTTCTGTCTGCATTGGCTCCTGACATGATGACAAGCTCCAACTTTTTCTTGAGGTTTCTGGGATATTCAGTAAAAAGAAATCTGCCAAATCCTGTCATTAAAAAAAGCAACTGGCTTTAAAGATGCTTTAAAATAATCGCTGAAGTTAAAAGATTTAACACCTATTAGGGCCTATTTTCAAACTCAGAAAGTATTTGGAGTAAAATTGTGGCATTTTGTGAGATTTCATGGTTTAGGTAGAAGATTTTGAATGATTTAAAAATAAAAATAAATAAATACATGAACCAGGAGAAGTTCTGAAATCTGGCTGAACCGTCTGGAGCGACCTCAGGTGAAACATAGATTCATGTAGAACACCAAGGACCAAGGATCAGGATCACCAAGTAACCTCAACGTGTTTCTGGACAGTGGGAGGAAGCCGGAGAACCCGCAGAGAACCCACGCTGCACGGGGAGAACATGGAGACTCCACGCAGAAAGATCCCGGATGTCCTCACCGGGGATCTTGTAGCTGTGAGGCGACGGCGCTAACCGCTGAGCCACCGTGCAGGCCGGAGACTGAGCAGAGCTGTAAAAGATATAAAAGGTCACACATTTAACAGAATCGTGCAAATGAAAAGATTCGCTAAAATACAGACAAAGAAAGTTCTCGACAGAACGTTTCTCTGAGTTCACCTGAATGTACCTGAACGTGGATCAGATCCTCCGTCCAGCAGGAAAACGTCTGAACTGAAAAGTAACTGCATTATTACAAAGTATGAATCGTTCAATATGAGGATGTGATCAAGTTTACAGACCTCTGAACAAAGTCTCAGAACTTTTTAACCGAAAAAACACCAATTATTAGTTAAATATATTAATTAACATTCATCATCATTTTTAGTTTGACTAAGGGTCTAATTGATCTAAAAATTTTAACTGCATCCTTTTTAAAGTTTTAATTAATTATAAAGTTAACGATGTTTGTTGCATATTAGATAATTTTCATGGGTTTTGGTCTATTTAAGTGCATCCACCCTGAAAAATAATCAATGCAAAAGACAATATTTTAATTAAGCAGCTTAATTTCAGCATTTTATTGGGTAAAAGGGGATCAATATTTAATTTCAGAGGCATGAATATAAGGAAAACATTTATTTAAAAAAGTAATACTATAGCATGTCGTTTTTGGCAAAAAGGGTCACGTTTCAGAATGTCGTCAAAACGTGTCAGGATGTAGTACACAGTGGAAACAGTGCGATGCATGTCGTAGAAATCACCACAGGAAAGTATTTCACAAAGAGAAATCGTTTTCAGTTTTGGCGTGAAATAAAAAAGTCATGCTATAGGGCTGCTGCTATAGCTCACCTGGTTGAGCTGGCATCATATGTGTAGGGTGACAGTCCCAATGTGGAGGTCATGAGTTCAAATCCCGCTCATGACCCTTTCCC